AGATGTAAAATGCTACAAGCATGAGGCTGTTTAGGATAAATAATTGTAATTTTTTGTTACAATTTGCAGTTGTTCAAGAACAAAAAAAGGGTAATTTGGATTTATTTCATATTGTTTTATGGTGGTTACAAGGTCAGTCAAATGATCCAATCCTGTAGTGTTAGGATAGAAAAAAATAACAGATGGAATTTAATACTTTACTGAAAAACAAATTTTGATATTCATTTAAGCAGTTTTAGAGGTTATATAAATGAAGTTCAAAAACTTTAAGATGAATAAACATTTTAAATCTTAATATGAAAATCACCATGTACTCAGACTAGTCAAAGATTGATGTAGACTGACTAAAGTAAATTCAGAGACAAACCTTTACTATAAATACTCTATTAAAAAATTTCAATTTGTATGTACAATATACTTGGCATGTATACTATAAGCTTACCAAATTATTTGAAGATACACTAAATAAATTTGAAATTATAATAAATATGAATTCTCGAATAGGGCTTGATCCAATGGACTAACCCTGTGGATGTAGAGTTAAGTAATCATTTGTAGTTGTGTGTGCTAGAGTATCATCAGGTACAGTTATGGTCATACATATAATTTTTTTTGTTAATTTCAATGTTTTGAACATTTGTATTTAAATTTTATTTTTAACATTAAAGTAATGTATTAAACTTGTTCTTTTATAATAGCTTTTGGAAGTATAGAGTGTCCATCAATAATTGAAGACGTGCCACCATTATCAAGTCCAGAAGAGTTAAAAATGATGTGTGGGAAGAACCATGGCATTCAAGGACACCACAACTCATGCTACCTAGATGCTACATTATTTGCTATGTTTTCTTGTACAAGTATTTTTGACTCACTACTACACCGACCTCCAAAGCCAACTGATATTGCTGAATACTCACAAGTACAAAGGGTGCTAAAGGAAAAAATTGTGAACCCACTTCGAGCGTAAGCTGTTTGCTGAAAATGTTGATATAGACTAAATTTTTAAATATAAGTATTAGGTAATATTACATGTAATTTACAATGGTTAATATATTGAGTTATATTTTAAGTTTTTCTTTATTAACTAATCAGGTCTGTGACTTTCTTGTGTCTAACTATTTGAAATACTACTACAAGGCATCTTTTTCTTTATATTGATTCAGCATATCCATTAACCAATAAGTATCAGTCAGAGTCTGTTTCAAAAGCTAATTGACCAGCAGAGTTTGTTAGTCTGACTGTCTTCAAAATCTTTATAAGGGGAACCTGTCTTATTATATGCATACTAAGTCAGTCGTAATCTCAAAAAAGAAATATTTAAAAAATAGTCTTCATTTTTCTGTTTCTCAGCTCAGATTTCTCTATTTCAGAATTTTCTAATATCAAAAATAGGTTGCTAAAGTTTCCAAACACAAAATATACATAATTATAAGTAATAATCTAAAAGTCTTAACCTTGTATCTTCTTGATTTGCTATGAAATAACAAGTTTGTCAAATCCATCAGAAAAGCCCCTCTTCTCTCTTTCTCTGACTTTTGAATTTCCCTGCTAATCAACTTTGCATGGCTGATGTACATGTTTATAACCAATAGAAAGAGCAGATTCTCATCTTAAGTGTTACAAGATGTTGTTTAGTTTCATGCTGTAAATCCTTAATGAGCAAAATTGCTTGGTATGTGGTTATTATATTTTGGAGCTCTGAATGCTAAAGGAATTTTTTAACCTCTTCATAGGTTACTTAGAAAGCCAGATAAATTTTAGTAGTTTTGAGACAATCCAAAATATATTTTTTGTGTTTTAAAATGCTATTTTTGAAAGGAATATGTAGGAAGAACATTTGAAAATTTTTATTAAAGTGTGAATGAGCCAAAGTGCACAGTAACTACTACAAATTATTGTTTTTATGTATATATTTTATATATTGTTAAATATTTGTTAACAAAAGTAACTAAAATGTTAAAAATTAAAATATTTAATATTTCATGACCTTAAATGCCCTGTGAAATATTACACTCAGCAGTCATGTGTTGTTTATGTTAGTTCTGTGGGAAACAGCTAATGGGCTCTTATTTTGATTTATTGCTTTTGAAGTGAGGATTACAGTAAAAAACCAATAAAATTAAAATAAGATGTGAAAAAATTATTGATATTCATTCAAAAGGTTCTATTGATTATGTAAATGGAATCTGAAAAGTGTAAGATGAAAAAAGTAATTTTATTCTTAGTATGAAAAAAATCCGTTAACTAATTTTGACGCAGTAAAGGCTGTGGAAATTCACAGATAAATCATTAGTACAAATACTTTGTAAAAAGAATTCAGATTTTTTGTGTATAACAGATTTGTTACATTTACTAAAAAGTTGCTAAATTTATCAAGGCACACAGAGTAAATTCAAAAATTGTAGTAAACATTAATATGTATAGCTTCATAGATACATGGCTAGTCAGTATGACTGAGCCCATGAACAGATGGTCAATTATAAATAGCACTGCTAAGTTAAAGAGTTTTCCTTTCATAAATTTGTGTGTGTGTGTGTTTATCAGTTTATTAAGGGTTAAGAGTGAACAGGTGTCAGACAATGACTGGCTCACTTTTTTTGGTGACCTTTAAAGTAATTAGTAATCAGTCACTGTGAATGGCAGTGATTTTTATTATCAGAAAGGTTATTGTTCATATTTAATATACCATGACAAAACACTTGCTGGTTTTTTGTATTTCTTAACATGGGTTATGTAATTTGGTAACAATTTTTATAAAAGTATAAATTCGTATACCTTGTGCTTTATGAAATTGCTTATAATTATTATTATTTAAAGAACTAAGTTTCTGTTTTTCTAAAGATACTACAGTGTACCATATGAGTTGCTTTTGTTGAAGGAGAAACGTTATTCAAATCTGAAAGTATGGTATAGTTTAATATAAATTTATAAGTTGTTACTTAAAAGTAAATATTGTGCTTGTATGTAAATGTATCTTATCCCAATTTCACATATCACATATTCTTATATGTATATGCACTTAAAAAATTATTCCCTTTATATTTTCATTAGAACTAACAAGTCTTTTTTTTTCATTTCTTCTAAGGAATTGGTACGTTCGAGCTGATAGAGTAATGCACCTTCGAAAACTGTTGGAAGAACTGGGATCAGTAAGAGGGTTAACCTCAGAGGAAAAAGGTAAACTAACTTATGTCTTTGAAGATTTGAACCTTTACTGTAGTTTTCTACCTTTCTTCAATCTAGTTCTCAAGTAAATATGTTTAGAGCAGTATTAACATGAAAATATTTTAATATAGGGGAATTTTGATTCGTGGATATCTTCTACAAGTTCAGTTTTCCTCATGGATGAAGTGAAATATTCAGTGTGTAGTCATTTTTAATAACAATAGTTAGGACCAAACTGGAGTAATAGGTCCAGAGATGCCAACAATGCCTATTTTCATGGGATTATTCTCAATTTTATTCCCAGGTTATGCCATCATGATCCTGACCATTCAGAAATCATATTGGTAGTTAGCCCTTTCAGAAGTTAAGACAGCCATATTAATGTCATTGGGAAAATGTTGAAATGAAAGCCACCTAGCTAAGGGTGTGTATTTGAACATAGAAGATTGAAAGAGTTCCAACTGGGATACCTCTATCACAACAAAAGAAATAGACAAAAAAAGTCACATGTATGTTTGCTGCTTAAAAGATAATCATAAAGTAAAGTAAGGGTGAAAATAAAGACAAGAAAATCAACCTCAACAATTACAATACAAAGTTTTTGTGTCTTAGTATGGAACTCTGGAATACCACATATATAAAAGAAAAAAAATAAGCTACGAAAAAACAAATATCAGATAATCTTGATAGCTAAATGATACCCATAAAGTAAAGTTGAAAAATATATAAATCACAAAAATGACATGACTCTCTGGTATGGAATTCTTGCAAAAGCATTGGTGTCACAGAAACCTAAGTATTAATATGTTGCCAACTGGCCATGCATTAAATTATCCAATATAAGTGGAAACATTAATTGTTTTTACTTTACTCTGCAGATTTAGGAATCACTTATATTGAAAAGCAACTGTTCAGATTCTGATATTTTTTAGACTAATATTCATAATTTACATCAATTAGAGTCAGTATCTTTGTTAATCTTATTAAGGAAAAAAGCTGAATACTCTGTATATAACAAGAAAAGTGAGAGGATGTAAACTGTTCAAATATAGCTCTAGTGGCACCACTTATGGGTTAAATTGTTTTTCCAGTGCAAAAGGAGGTATAAATATTTGCTAGAAATAGATTTCATAAATAAAAATATGCAAGATAATTATATGGAAATTGGAAATACAACTAAAAGTCTCAAAGAAGATTTAAAATATTTACTTGATGCACACTGTAGTATTTCATAAAATGTACTGCTGGAAATAGCTAAAGTAAAAAATATGACATAGATTATTAAGTTTGCTTTTTTGTTTAAAAGAAAAGTATAAAGACCAAAAGTATATTTAAGAAATTAGACCCAAGTTCAATTCTTATGATAGAAATAAATATGTTTATTTTAAATTTGGGTAGAAATTAGTCCCAGCTATAAGCCTTACCAAAGTGTTTCTGGTCTGATTTATAAGGTTGCAAAATAGTCTTAGAAATGTTTGTGTAATTGGTTAAAATTTGCTATTTACACTTATGGTGATATTGTAGATTGTTAAATTAAGAAATTAAATTCTTGGAACAAGTATACTTTGTTTTTTATTTCATTCATATTATTATCTGTACACAGTGTTGTCACAAGTAAATAGACACCACCTTTTCATAAAAAATGAAATTTTTCAGTCATATTCACATGAATTGATATATTTATAATTTAATTAATATCTAGTAGATCTTCCTTTCGCTTCATGGAGTTTGTTGATTCTTTGGGGCTTCGTGAGAATCATCTCATCAATTTTAGATTGTGGGATTTTCACTCACTCTTGCTTCAAAACTTGGAGTAGATCGCTCTTCG